GGAGATTTCAATTAAAAATCTGTGTTAAACATAATACTTTAATTCTTTGTTCCTAAAAAACAAAAACAAAAAAAACAACAGACTTGCAGCAAAAACGTAGCAACTTATCAGACACATTTGTTGTATAAAATATCCATGTATCCATATCGTATTTTTGATATGGGTGTATAATTTATGTTCTAGAGCAAAACCTTACAAGTTATGTTAACTACTAATAAAAACATCTACAACATTGTAAAACCCATAGGAAATGTACTTCCGGGATCTTACATCCCTCCTGCACCACTCCTGCCTTTCACTGAGAAATATTTGCCTTTAATATTGATATGATGGACATCAGTATTCCATGATCTATTAATAAAGTGGTTACCCCACTCTGACACCATTTGGGTGACATGGGTTGGCTCTTTTCATCTTCTATGTTTATTTCTATAATGCTTTTACAATTTTGGTAGAATGGGAGATTCTCATCATGGATGTGCAGCTGATAAATCTGCAGCAACTGCATGATGCTATCATGTCAATATGGAGCAAAATCTCTGAGGAATATTTCTAGTACCCTGTTGAATAAATGCCACAAAGGTTTAAGGCAGTTTAATAGGCAAAAATGGGCCCAAAGTGGTACTAGTAAGATGTACCTAATAAAGTGGCCAGTGAGAATACACTCAAATGTAATAATAAATGCATTTAAACCTATGCTATGACTTTGATAATCTGGTTACTTATGTTTTTATGTTTTGGCTTGCAGCAGATTTGCATGGCCAGTACTTTTGTAGCCAAAAGTAAAAAAATATATATTTATGTTCCTAGACCAGAATTATATCTAACATTTGATTGGCAATACTGTTTGATTCAAGACATGGTTAAGGCTTTGAATTCAGTTATAGTAATCGTGCCATCCTGAACGTCATCTTTCTGCAAGCAATCCAGTCCCTGCAGACCGTCCAGTCTATAAACAGCCACATCGTGTCCTGGAGTTGTCCCTCCTGCTACCATGGGAACACAGTAAACAGAGGGTCAGTGGAGAGCCGCTTTGAGTTTCTGTCCCAGAGAAACAATCAGAGCCATCCAGCTCACTTGCAGGAGGCTGGTATTTTGTCTAGACTCTGCTTTCCCCCCAGTTGTTTTTAATGGAGCATATTCTCACGTGCTCTCTTAAACAAACTGATAAATATATCTGGGAATACAGCTCAAACCCTAGTTAAAGAGATAGGTCAATCAAAAAATGAAAATGTACTCACCCCCAAGAGCTTAAAAAATGTTTTGTTGTACACGACGAGAAATTTGGAAGAATTCTGGAAATTATTATCCATTGACTTTTACTGTATACTTGGAAAAAGGTACTATGGAAGCAAATGGTTACAGGATTGCAACATTCTTCTAAATATCTTCTTTTATGTTCCTTCAACAGAAAGAAACTCAAACTGGTTTGGAACAAGTAAAGTTTAAGTTTGAGTAAACGATGACAGAATTTTCATTTTTGGGCGAACTGCCCCTTTTAAGACTTACAATATGATAATCCATTTCTCACACCAAGCCCCTTCATTTTTGAAAGAGCATATGGCTGAGTAAATGACCGAATTTACTAGTGGGCTACATAATGTGACAGCTTGGGATAGAGAAGGATTTTCTGGTTTTAAGGTTTGCTAGGGTTGATGCATCTCGGGCTGTGACAAACCGCTCTTCCCTGGCACCACCAAACAAGGAGCTGTTCAAGCCAACAATACAAGTGCTCTCAAGCTAGAATGTTTGGCCTTCAAATAAAGAGCACACTCCAGTGCCATGTACAACACAAAACGGGCCATGCTGTGTGGTTACCGAGACTCTACTTTAGGAAAAAAGCCTCATGTGAATCTTACTAGCTCTTTCCATTGACTGTATTTTACATATTCGCGGGATGGCAGCCAGGGAATCATTTTGACCAGACGTAATCAAACACTGAAACTGTTTTGAACGTCCACTGACATCTGAAAGCTGTTGTGATCAGATGTTCAAACATTGTACCTGTTTTAAATCTTCATAATGTTAAATCTGGGTTATGGCTTCATAACATTCTCTGTAGGTCACTCTGAGCTTTAAACTGGAGAGCTTATTAAAATAAGAAGAAATGACAGTGTTCAGCAATGATTTAATACAGCTAAAATAGTTATGAGTGAAAGACATGGTAAAGTTATAAATGGCCACATCTGCTTTTTTGTGTATGGATAATGGATAAAAAGTGTTTTGTTTCATACAGATCCCAGCCAAAGCATGTTAAACAAAAGATTAGAAAAAAAAAATCGTGCAAACATGACACTGAAAATGACCTTATTACAAAGTTTAAAGGGTCATTCAGTCAAAAAATGTTTAATAAAAATGACAAAAACACATACATGAGACATGCATGACAATTGCAGGTACATCACTCTGGCTCATTTTTTAGAGCCCCTATTTTTCATTATAAAAGGTCATATTTTGGTTTTGGGGGTCTCCAACAACAGGTTGATATGCATGAAAGGTCAAAAAAACACTTGTTTAAGTCATTTTCTTATAATATGCATTAATTTTTACCATTATCCCAACGACTCCCATATGATTTGTTTGGTCTCAAACCCATAATGTGTAGGGATTGTTCCAATAAACCATTCTGTTGTGATTGGTCAACTGGTTTCAGTGTGAGACAGAGAGAAACGTGTGTGAAGTAGCACACACTGTAACAGTTACTGACAAAGTCCCTGTCAAAGTCTGACAAAGTCCCACACATATTAGTCTCTGCTGCTCTTTCCTTTAATAGCAAATGGCCGATGAATCTTGTGTTGCAGCGTAGTTTATTATATCAAAAATCTGAAAAATGACAGGAACAAACACAGCCCTAGGTTGGCTATACTGTGGTATTTTTGTGAAATAAAAGTTTTATTCCCTGCAGCTGAATCTACATCTCTCAATGATCATCATCTTCATGTCATGATCAATCCCATGTGCTCTGCTAGTGTCTAAAGGGAAAGCCGCCTTCACGTTTTACCGGAACCATGTATTGTATCGACAATGCGTTCAAGCAAATGATCCGAACCCAACATAATTCCTTTATTCAACTCTGAGTGGACTATTTTGTTAGAGAATCAATAGTTTAAAACACGGTGCATTTCAGATTTAAACTTCAGCTGGATGTTTTCATTCATCTAGAGATGTGTTACACACTGCATGGAAACTCATTTTTAAAAACCCATAATAGGGGCACTTTAAAATGTGAAATAAAGCAGAAAAGCATCTCAGAAAGTATTTTATAAAGCTGACAGTGCTTTAATTCAGTGCACATGAGGCGTAAGGAACTGCACTTTATCCTGTATTTTACATGGCTACTTGCTAAAAAAAAAAAAAAAAAAAAAAAAAAAACATTGTTCTGAGCCACAATTTTTTATTAAATCTTTAAAGTAAAGCTGACAGAAATAAAAACGGCTGAATGGAGCATACACTCAAATGTACAATATTATTCAGTCATAAGATGGCACCAAACAGTCAAAAACAGCGTCGTGACAACGTATTCCTGTGTTATTCAGCGGTTGTTATCTCAGAATAACATATCTTGGAATGTTGTGACTGACTCAATTCCAGACAGCTGTGTAATTATAGCCTATAAAACCAACAACGTGAACAAGCCTGTTCATTACACACTTACTGTATAACTTAATAAAGTACTCTGCCAGTCACACAAACATCCACATAACATTTGCTGCCGGTCACTCAAAGCTCATATCCATTTTGTTTGTAAATAGTCAGATATAAGAAGATGCCCTTCCAGCCATAACCCAGTACTGGGACTCTCATACACTACAGACAATTGTGTTTACCAAACTGACTTATTCTGCATGTCTTCGAACTGTGGGGGAAACCTGAGCACCTGGAGGAAACCCATACAAAGACGGGGAGAACATGCAGACTCCACACAGAAATGCCAACTGGCCCAGCCAGGACTTGAACCAGGGCCACTATAATATTATTATAGATGCAAAAACGATTCAAACTAAAGTCACCTACAGTTGAAGAATGGATTAATACAGTGCACACTATTTGTGTTATGAAAAAATGTCATTTTCATTAAAAACACAGACTGAATAGTTTTTTGGAGTAAATGGATTGAGTATATTTCACCAATTTGCCCGTATTTTTTTTTTATTACATATATTTTCTTCTTTAAAGGAAATTTGTAGCTCCCTGTGTTTTATTGTTTATAGATGTTGTTGTTAAAGGGAAAAAAATACAAAGCATACGCAAAATCTGTAAGTCTCTTTCTGTATAAGAATATGTAAATTATATATGTTTTTTTCTTTTGGAAACTCAAGAAAAAAATGGATATCGACAGTTTATTTGGGATTAAATTTGTTTTACATTTTTTTTGATAAAACAAAAATGTTTGATGGGTTAGTAATGACAGAAATATCATTTTTGTTGAACTATCCCCATATTTTAATGATAACACTGTAGCTCTCCATGTCATCTAGACACTATTAATTAGATGAATTAATTATTTTCTTCATGTTAGCAGCTTAAGAATTAGGACTAGAACTGAAATCCACAGTTCTTTTTGTTTCCCTTATGCGGCTGTGCTACTAGAACTGTTTACATTCCAGAAAGGAGATGTTTAAAAGAGCAACACATGCCGTGTTGATATGACAATTTGACATGATAAGCGTTTGTTATTGTGCTCTGTGAACAGTTCCCAATCTGCTGATCAGAAGTGAAGACTCTGACTCAATTCTCCTTAATTTCATGACAGAGTTCTCCTTTCAACCAAGCACAGGTGTCTGGCCAAGGGTTAGGAAAAGAAACGTCTAGACAGCAGACGGGGTGATGACAGAGTGAAGGGAGATTTCAGTTTTTGAGGATTAATCATAAAGGGTGCAAAGTTTGGATCTGAAGGGGGTGGGGAGAGAGATTGAACCCTGAGTTTCTCAGTCTACCCTATGACCTCATGAGAGGAGTGGCATCCCGGCATCATCTTTCTTTCATTCACTCACTCTCCTAACCCCATGCGCATGCTTAAAAGGGATTCAGAGACAGGCACTGGCTTCCAATCTCTGTTGGGTGAGCCTTTCGTCCAGAGCAGGAGCTGATTATTCTGTTCTCTCTGGCCGACAAGAGGAAACTCCAAGCTCTTTTCAAAAAAAGAAGATAAAAGAAACTAGACAGAAATGCCACAGAACGTGGTGCTGGATGGACCGGCCCCATGGGGATTTCGGCTTTCAGGAGGCAAAGATTTCAACCAGCCACTGACCATAACTCGGGTAAGTGAAAGCCTTTGGCTGCAGAGTTTGTGCCGCTCCACACATTCCACTCAGAGATAATGATGCTTTTGATGTGCTGGGCAACACTGCCGTGGGCATGAGAAACCAGTGGGTGGATCATAAAAAAACATTCCCAGGACCTCACTTTAGGATACAGTGAGAAAAAGTATTTTTAGAGACACAAGTTCAAACTGGCATTCATTTTTGGAAACATCCGTGGTTGTATGGGGAATCATTTCCCAATAGAGACTTTCAATGTTTGGTAAATTACACTTTTTATTTATGTCTTTATGTTGTGTGGTTTTACGAAGAAAAAAAATGCATGGGATACATTACCGGTCAAATTGAGGGTCCGTTTTTTATGTTTTTTAAAGAAAATTATTCTGTTCATCAAGGCGCCATTTATTAAATGTAAAAAAAAAAAAAAAAAAAATGTTTAATACTTATTAATATTTTAAACAAATGCTTTCTTATCATATGTAGTTTCAAATAAAATTATTACTCCAGACATTATTGCTTTTATTACTATTACCATTAATAATAATAATAATATTACTAATAATAATAAATATTAGAGTGATTTCTGAAGGATCATGTGATTCTGAAAACTGGAGTAACAAAGCTGAAAATTCACCTTTAAAATCACTGGAATAAATGATTCAATTAAATGATAAGCTACTTTTAAACAGTTATTTAATAGTGCAATAACATTTCACAATTGTACAATTTGAATCGTATTTCTGATTAAATAAATGCAGCCTTGGTGAGCAGGAGAAGCTCATTTTAAAACATTTAAAATTCCTACTGACCCTAATCTTTTGAGGAGTAGTGTACATACATTAAATAATGCATTAAAAATGATGGATGTAATGCTGTTCTTGTGAACTTTCTATTTGTTAAAGAAGGCAAACATGAACCACAAAAATATTAAGCAGCACAACTGTTTTCAACATGGATGATAATCTGTGAAAAAAAAAATGTTTCTTGAGAGCCTATTCAGCATATTAAGAACATTTCATCATGTGACACAAAAACTAAAGTTATGAATACTGAAAATCCAGCATTGCCATCAAAGAAGTAAATAAACCCTTTTTAACATAAGCTAAATAAAAAAATGTCTTGTACAGTTCGAATATTATTATTAAACTATTGGGATGTAAGATGTGCTGTAAAATCTATACAAAGCATCTGATTTAAAAACAGATTTTATTACTTTGATAACTCCTGCAGTAATAGTAAAACTAATAACATTACATATTTTATAATAACAGTGGTGTTTCCCAGTGATGGGTTGCAGCTGGAAGGGCAAAGTTGGCAGTTCTTCCCGCTTTGGTGACCCCTGATTAATAAAGGGACTAAGCTGAAGAGAAAATGAATGAATGAATAATAACAGTAGCACATTACCCTCTGTTGCACCATGCTGTTGATAAATTTGAAGATGAAGAATATTTACCTCATATCTTACTCACAATGTTCTATCTTAAGGCAATTTATAATCTTTGATTTTAAGTATAATTCGTATTCATTTGTATAATCATCGTCCAATAAGTGGTTAGGGTTGAGGTTTCGAGGGATGTCTCCCCTTTTAAAATCGTATTTTCATACAAATAAAATCGTTTTAATTCTTGTTAGCCACTTAATTAGCCACTTTTATGACATTACATAAAATAGTTACATTTCCTTTTGGGTTATCTGTTCCTGAAGTATAAACTAAATTAACTGCTAGATTTTATTTTCTTCCAGTTACTAACATGCACGCAAAAATGTCAGACACACACACACATACACTAGTCTGGCTCCGGAGGGGATCTCTACACCTGTCGTCTGAATGAATCACAAAGCTCTTAGTCCAACAATATTTCAAACAGCCTCTGAAGTCAGAACATTTGCAGTAACAGAAGAGGTCTAAGGTTAACTGAGCACTCACTGATATATGAAAGATGAACTGGGCAATCTCTTTCATTTAAGCAGTCAATGCAGTACAACCACAGGCCTCATATGCACTCATATGATTCCTAAATAGTCGGTGGATGATTGCGAAAGTCTCCCATTCTTATAGATGTAGTTTTAAACTTAACAAGAAGCAGGTACAATGTCATGCTACTGTAGATTTGTGTTCAGCAACAGCCGAGTTTATAAATGCTGAGGCTCTAAGTGTAAATCTATGAATTTCCCTGACACAAACACTGCGAACTGCATGCTTTATTTAACTTGTTCTGTAAGTCTGTCTCCTCTTAGGAAACCTGTTGGGAGGTTGACTGGGGAAATGCTGTGTATTGTAGAAACCGAACATATTGACTTTGTCTCATCCAGGACTGGGTCTAAACAGCTCTATTGCTCATAGGAACACATCTTTCCAAAGAGTGGTTTGTAGAAGTAAGATTAGTAGCTCAGCAGCTCTTTGATCATGAAATTCAAGTATAATCTTGGTGGAAAGCCATTTTTGACATTCACCATAAATTGTGCAAATCTGCGGCGCAGAACGGACAGGTCGTCGTAAAAATGTCTTCAGACTCTCTGATTAAAAGCAGAACAGTGAGTCTTACGAAATATGAAATACCCTAAAAAGAAAGGCAAAACGTGGTTGTACCATAGTACACAGAGATACTAGTGTCAGATGATATGTTATTGGAATCATTATCTTCTTGGAAGTTTTCGAAAACTACAATATAACCATTAACATTTTAAAAAGTATGTATTTTTACTGGTGTAGCAATGCTTTTTGGTCACATAAGTGAAACTGCCAGGTGAACTACTGTAGATGTGAAATCTCAGCTGAAACAAATGACATCATTCTTAAAATAAACCAATCAGGTTTATTTAACATTCCTAGCTAATGACGTCCCCGCAGTGTCCAAGTGAAAATGACACAAGGTTTGATTTCAAACAAAAAACACTCAAACCTAATTTAAATGGATTACAATGAGCACAGTTCTGACTTTGGTGTACGCCAGAACTTGAAAGCTAAATTTATCATGTATTTAAGCAAATAAAATAAAAAAAATTCTGTTGACTAATGCAGAATGTGTGTGGTTTCTTTGAATGACTGCCGTCTGTAATCATACAATCATTGATGCCAGCAAGGTGGTTCTTTTGTCATACTATGAGCCCTGATGTTCTTACTAGAGTAACATTAGCCTCCATCAATGTGGGCATGCCAGAACAGATGGGGCTTTTTATTAGAAGCCAAATCAGACAGTCTAAATGATACTGCTGAATTAAAAATGCAAACGAATGTTATATATTTATATCCAGTTGTTGAGCAGACTTTCATTCAAGGGGCACAGAACACTTATTACAGCCACATTCCCCCCGGAACAACTGAGCTTTAGTATTTTGCTTGAGGGCATCATGGCTGAGCATCAAACTTTTTTCTACTTCACCCACACACACACAAAAAAAGAAAATTCTGTAATGACTTACTGAGCCTAATTATCGTGTCCACTCACTTATATGATGGCAGTTTAAATTAAAGCAATAGTACACCTAAGAGTTTACATGTATTTTTATTTTTTTACATTTATGAATGTAGCCTACTATATAGAGAGATTAGATACAAAAACCTTTAAATGTCGTCTGAAATTTTCTTCTAAAATGATCATTCAGTAATTACAGAATGTTCAGTTATTTCATTTTTACGGCAAAGGATAAGTCATTTGAAGAAAATGTTCATTTTTGGGACGACACTTAGAGGTTTTTGCATCTGAACTCTTCATATTTTACTTGGGTAAAGTTTTTTTAGTTTTTCTTTTTTATATATTTATATTTATAAAAATGTATTTATTGTATTTACGTAAACAGAAAATCTCCATTTTGATCTGTTGTAAAAAAATATTTTAAAGGATCTAAGCAGATAAAATGTCTAAAAAAATAAATGCATGAAAATATGACTACAATGACTATGACTATAATATACTACTTTTTAAGGTCAACATGACATTACTTAAAGTTAAAAGTAAATTTAAGTTTACAGTTATAAACAACTTAATAATATTACATTTATACTTAAAAACCTAATGTCAGAATAATAGCAGTAATAATTGATTAATAATAGCTTATGATTTTAAACAAAGGCAAATCTCTGTAATATGTTGTGTATATTTCCATTTTTTGCCAAACTTTGCCTAGTTTTGTCTCATTTCCATGAAGTAAAACATGAAATAAATAAATAAATAAACAAACAAACAAACCCATAATAAACATACATTTACACACACTCATACACTATAGTCAATTTTAGCATACCCAATTCACCTGTACCACATGTCTTTGAACATGTGGTATAAAACGGCAGCAGAGGAAATCCACGCAAACATTCAGAGAACATGCAAACTCCACACAGAAATGCTAACTGACCCAGCCGAGGATCGAACCAGTGATCTTCTTGCTGTTAGGCGAACATGCTAACCACCCCGCCACCACATCTCCTAAAACAAGTAAAATAACATAAAATGAAATAAATATTGCTGTCAAAAAAGACTGAACACCACCAGGTTTAAAAAACTACTTATTTTAGTACAGAAAAAAACATATTTTTTGTACAATAGTATATGAAGTGTATATTTAAGTGTCTACATGGAAAAACATACCAATAAAGCACCTTTATTACAAACAGTCAAATTGCTGGTTTTGTTCTCAGTTTGTTGTATCAATTCTATATATATTTTTGGAAATAGATTTATATAGTGCAGTTAAAAATACAGACAAAACCACTAAAATGTTTTTTAGAATGTTCTTGGTTTCTATTTATTAATTTAATAGTTCTGCGAAAGAATTAAAGAAAAGCTAAATAAATATATGTTTTTAGGTCATCTATCTCTTTAATTTATTATGCCTGATGTAGCTCCATACATAATGCCTAATGTTCAGCATGCCTTTACATGCTTCCCTAGTGGGTTTATGTGTCACCTTGGGAATTTTCTGCACAGGTGCTGCATAGCTTACAAAACCCAAATAGTTATATTCGTGTTTCTGTTTATACTGGAGCTCGGCTACCAGTCACTCAATGGTTTCATCTTAGCTCATAGCTCCCTTTGTTTCCATGTATTAAACAGAGCGTCTTTGTTGTTGAGCCAAAGACATCACCCATTTGCTTGAGTAGTGTCAGAAGAACAATCTCAATTTCATTGTGTCCACTCTGAGTCATCTGGGTGCCTATTTCTTTACAGTCACTCTTGATTTTCTGAAGACAACTCGCTAATGGATATCTACAGGGAAAATACAGATTATTGAAATTTGTCCCCATAAGAGGGATAATGTAGATCACCAAAAGATGAAAATTCTGTTATCATTTTCTCAAAATCTGCTTTTTTGAAGTCTGATTGAGCTTTTTTCTCTGTTGAACACAAAATAAGTTATTTTGAAAAACGTTGGAAACCAGTAGCCATTAGCTATGTTTCTATCCATAGGTGCGAATTAGATTTATGTCAAAAACTGGAATATCACATAAATAAATAAAACATTTGGGAATAAAACAGTCTCCATCCAATGAGTCAAAGAGAACACAATCACCACTTCCACAGAATTTGCTGCGATAGAAAAAGCTAATGAAAGAACCCTTTTTTCTTATAAAATAAATCAGTTTCACATCAGAAGACAAGACAGAATGCAATGAATGCATGGTAGCTTTTGTTGCCCTGAGACTGCTCTTTGGGAGCACAGCCGCTCAAGACAAATGTGGGAGGTAATATTATTGAGCCACTTTGAAGATGGACTTTGGCTAGGGATTTTAGAGTGACCAAAACAACATTTCAGATGTTTTACGATGTGGTCTGTCCACTGGTTTGTCCATAAATGCCATCTCACTTGTCTATATTTGCTATCACATGATCGGTAAAAACAAAATCATATGATGTTTTTATGTGCACTGTCGGAATTTATTCGGTAAATGTGTTTCTATTGTAGTTTATGCACAATTTTACTTTATCTGATGAAACGTTTATCCTATACTCAGTTGTGCACTTACACTCACGCAAATTTTTTATCAGCCAATCACATGGCAGCACCTCAATGCATTTGAGCATGTAGACGGACTGCTGCAGTTCAAACCGAGCATCAGAATAGGGAGGAAAGGTGATTTAAGTGACTTTGAACATGGCATGGCTGTTCTACGGGGATTTTCACGTACCTAGGGTCTAGGGTTCACAGAGAATGGTCCGAAAAAGAGAACATATTCACTGAGTGGTATTTCTGTAGGCACAAATGCCTTGTTGATCCCAGAGGTCAGAGGAAAATGGCCAGACTGGTTCGAGCTGATAAAAAGGCAACAGTAACTCAAATAACCACTCGTTACAACCGAGGTATGCAGAAGAGCATCTCTGAATGCACAACATGGCAAACCTTGAGGCAGTTGGGCTACAGCAGCAAAAGACCACACCATGTTTCACAAGAAAGTGAGGGTACAATTTGCACATTCTCACCAAAATTGGACAATAAAACATTTGCCTGGTCTGATGAGTCTCAATTGTCGCGGCGTCCCCGACAACACCCTCATCACCTGCGCCCTCAGTTATATCTGCGCCTAGGGCGGCATAATAGAGAGGACGGAATCCACGACAGCTCCCTCACCACCCGCCCCCGGGTTTCACTTTCGGATTGAGGGCGGTGTGACTGTCTTTTGCTTAGAGCGGCAGTTCAGCTTGCTCCAGCCCTGTGTCCATCCCTTTATGACCACAATTCACCCATCTTCTGATTGCTACTTCCAGCAGGGTTACACACCATGTCATAAAGCGCAAATCATTTCAGACTGGTTTCTTGAACATGGGAATGCTTTCACTGTATTCAAATGGCCTCCACAGTCACCAGATCACAATCCAACAGAGCACCGCTGGGAAGCGGTGTAACGAGAGATTTGCATCATGAATGTACAGCTGACAAATCTGCAGCAACTGCGTGATGCTGTCATGTTAATATGAACCAAAATCTCTGAGGAATATTTCCAGTACTTTGTTGAATTTTTGCCACAAAATTTTAACGCATTTCTACATGCAAAAGTGGGTCCAACCCAGTACAAGGTGTACCCAATAAAGCGGCTGGTGAGTGTAGGTTTTGTTATCCAGACTTTCAAAGTTCATAAGCATGTTTGCTATTTCATTAAGCATTTTTATGTGATTTTACAAAATGTACTTAAAAATAGGTGAATTGAAACAGTATTGACTTCTATGGCTTTTATTATATTTTTGGCCTAATTTGGCTGTAAATGAGTATAAGCAATGTTGATGGTTGGTGGTTAATTCCACTGTGGCCCCTGATTAATAAAAGAATTAAGCCGAAAATGAATGAATTACTATATACCTGAATAATGTTTGAAAACTCAGAAAACAATAAAAAAAAGAAACTGTTTATTTCAGTTGTATCATTTTCTTTATTGTATTAACGTGAACTTGTGGATTGTTTATTAAATTTAATGCCCAACAGAATCCTCTCATTCCATCTAATATTATAAATTCTTTCCAAATAGAGATTCAAGTCATCTGATGAAATTGGATTCTTATTCAAATACATATCGCAGAATAACAAAATATGGCAATGTTAAACTTTTCCAATATCAAGCAGCCCTGTTTAACATCATCTAAATGTATTTTAAGATGAAGGCACATGTGGACAAATGTGACAGTTTTGTTGTGTACTCAAATATGACAGTAAATGAGATATTACACCATGACTGTATTTAATAAGAAACAGGCTGAATCACTGCTAGCTTCATCAGTCAATAAATTATGCATTTCAATTATGCATAAAACATCACAAATCTTCATGACATTAAAACACTGATGACGGAAAACTAAAACCCCCTGGTCTTAAACAACTGTCATGACTTGACCTGGTATAAATCTTATTTCTCTCTTGAGAGGCAAGACTTAACTAGAAGAAGGTCAGCGGATCTAACAGAGCAGCTGAGTCAGGAGACGGGTAGAGCGGAGAGAGACGAGGCGATGAGATAAATGACTAGGGGGATGAGGAGAATACCTCAAAAAATGAGCCCGGCAGCGATGAGAGGAATAAGGTATGATGTCAGACTCCATTAATGAAAGAGAGGATGATTGAAGGAACACCGGGCAGCAGGGTAAATGCCAGAACAGTCAGATCATCAGCCGCCAATAGGCTTGACTGTGTTCCCCAGGAGGACGATACCAGGACTTGACTGACACATCCACGAGGTGCTATTTTTAGCCCACTTGTAAACCAGCGTGGGTCAACAGATTGTTTCTATCCCAGTCACTTGCTGTTTTTGTCTAAACTGTTCCATGGTTTGCTGCTGTTAAGTAGTGGCTCTGAAAAAATTTCACATCTGATTATATTAATTTTTTAGAAAATTTATCCAAAGCAATGTATATAAAATTTAGACCTGTGCCCAGAGTTGAATACATTTGAAACAATTGGCATTAATAATGATTTTTTTTTGTAAACTGTATTTGTATGTGCTAAAACTTAAAAATAACAGCACTTGTACCGCATCTTAACCCTTCACCCTTGTGTATTACTCTGCCCACATACAGCTTCAGTACAAGCACAGGACACTCTACAGTTTGACAAATATTGCTGCTGTTGGACAACATAATGTACTTTTGAGGCTTTTTTAGGCAAGAATGTAGTTGTTTAGACTGAAACTATGCAGTTTATTTATGAGGATAGTGCCTGTTTGAAAAAAAATAAAAAATTCGGAGAGAGCACATTGGCGTCCATCAGCCTTCATTGAGTAGAGCAAAGATGGTTGATGTTGTCCATCCACAAGATGGCAACAGAGACTGTGTAATAATATTTTTTTTTATATACACGATTGTCGTTGTCAACTGTTGTATACATGCAATATCACTCGTGCTACTCATGTGATATAGCTCACACACACACACACACACACACACACACACACACACACACACACACACACACACACACACACACACACACACACACACACACACATATATATATATATATACACTGTATTTTCTGTTCATTTACAGTTGTGAATTGCATTATAGCACTTTTATCTCTGCTCTGTCCATTTTTGATTTTGAAAATGCAACTTTGCAGTTGTGTTTTTTATTTATATTTTGTCATTTAATACAAGACATTTATTAATAAATAATATATAGTGACCTATATTTGTAAAAAAAACAAAAAAAAAAACAGAAAAAGTACTTGCAGCTTATTACCAGTTTTTTTTTTTCAAACATTTATCATCAAAAGCTTGTCATATGCTTGTAAATGACATATTCAGTCTATATGCAGGTGCCAGTATTAAATAATAATGTTAAAACAATGTTTTTTTTTTTTTTTACATACTCAGACCCGTAGCCAGGGGGGGGTTCAAGTGGTAAGAAAGACCCACCCTCACTGACAAGGGTCCAGAACTTGTTCAATATATAAGTTCATTTGTCCTATTTTGACTGCTATGCCATTATAAATAGTGAATATAATCTATCAAAAACCCATCAAATGAAAATTTATTTACATGCATTTGTTATCTCTGAATTTTCAAATGTACTTTTTTTACGAGAGGCTGGAAAATTGTGAAACTCTAAATTATTGTTATTATTATTATTTAAATTGCCAAATTCTGAATGAGGAAAGTTAAATGTGCTAACCAGTTTGTTATTTATAATTTGCCCAACAAATGACAATAGGCTAGTTTTTAATTGAAACCTTTTTTTTAATGATATATGATGTAATAAATTTGTGTTTTAATTTAAATGTTTTTCATATTTTTTTTTATTCTAAATTTAGGAAATATTTTTGTTAAATCAAAAAATGTGGTTATGATGACACTCCGACAAGCTAATCCAGCTAAAAAAAAAGTGCATAAAATTCATTTAAATCTCATAATAAAATAAAAAAGTAAGGTGTATAATTGCAAAAAGGTCCACTTTAAAAAAAAAAAAAAAAAAAAAAAAAAAGAACCATCCCTTTCACCAAGCTGGCTCAGGTCTGATATTGAACCACATAATGTTTCTTTACACATCCCCAACTATTGAACTGGCATGGTGTTCAAAGTAAGTCGCTTTGATAAAAGCGTCTGCTAAATGACTAAATGTAAATGTTTTGCAAGCAGTGATGGAGAAATTACTTAGAAACTGTAGTCTGATTACAAGTTACAGAGTACAGAAACTAGCAATAAGTAATTTACAAGTAATCCAAGAGTAGTCAGAATACATTACCTCAAATAACAAACAAGCAACAATTAAAATGTATTTCTCAATGAATAATTAAAGAGATTCTTAAAATTATATATCTAATTTATCCAGTAACGAAGCCCAGTTTATATATTGTATCATTTATTTATTGGCATTTTTGGAATGAGAGGAATGATGGGTTCGGGAAAGGTCTACAAACTGGGACTTGAACCATGCTATTTGACAGAACACTGCCCACAATATGTCATAATTTTATAATATAGTAAATTCTTTTTTAAAATGTTATTGTCTATTCAGAATTATACAGCTCTAATGTGATTACCTAGGCTAAACTATATGACACATTGTGAAAAGTTGGAACACATAAAATAAGCAATATGCAGAATAAATTAATTACAAATTTTGAATCTGACTATATAATCCAGATTACCGGTGACAGTTACTACCCAGCAGCGTTTGCAGGTACTTCAACTTATTCTACAAACCCCAACTAAACAGTCTACTAACGGCTGAGTATCCATTCTCAAGCAGTTGTGGAGTTAGCAACAGTCAACAGAATATCTAAACAGGCCCAACAAAATAAACTCTAATCCTTGTTTCCTCAGGTGACTCCGGGCAGTAAAGCATCTCGGGTCAACCTGTGTCCTGGAGACATCATTCTGTCCATCCAGGGAGTGTCTACAGACGGCATGACTCACGCTGAAGCCCAGAACAACATCAAAGACTCAACCAATCAGCTTTTCCTCAAGATAGAGAGGTACCATGAGCTTTTCTCATTAAAGGATAGCGTTACCAACAGCACCAAGCAGCTTTCAACAACTTTATATCATGTTCTCTCACCTCCTTTTAAAGTTACAGCCAGAGGGAGGACTGTTACTGTAGGTGGTGTCCCAAAAGAATTTGTCTTTACCCCTTGTCTATTACCCGTTGCCCACAGAGCCTTATTTATGACGACAGTGAACGTATCTTTCTCAGTGATTAATACCCTCCCATAAACCATCTGGCTTGTACATGCCAGGCAGTTGACGCTACTTTACTATCTAGAAGTCATGGCTCTGTTGCACAGTAATGACCCCCCTCAGTGCCTTTAGATCTTTTTTTTTATGATTTCGCAGGGGGTAAAAGCGGAGCGTCTAACTGTGTGCAATAAATGTGTTGCAGGCCTGAAACAAAAATCTGGTCACCTCAGGTTATTGAAGAGGGGAAGGTGAACCCATTCAAAATCAATTTGGAGGCAGAGAAGCAAGTGAGTGTAACAAATGTACAGCTCTTTATTTTTATCTGCTTATAGGCAGCAAGAAATGGATAATAGAAGATTTTTTTTTCTAGAAACATTAAAGTGCATGAGGCATGTTAAAGGGATACTCCATCAAAAATATTTGATACTCTCATCATTTATGTACCCTCGGGCTGCCTCATAAGTACAATACTTATTTTCTTTTTTAAAGTGCACAGATTTAAAGACAAATAGTGAATTTGAATCTACAAAAAAACAGGTGAATGGAACCCTTAAAGCGAAAGCTTCAAAAATCTGGAATCAGTAGGTTATGAACAAAATAATGCACTCCAGAGTACACTACCTGACAAAAGTCTCGTCGACTACTAAAGTTTTAGGAACAACAAATAATAACTTCTAATTGATCATTTTGTATCAGAAGTGGCTTATATGAAAGACAAAAACCTCTTGATTAGACTTATTTTACCACAATAAAATAATATCATGCCTTGATTTTTAATTATTTAAATAGGACAGTAAGGTCTGACTTTGCTTAGACAAAATCTTGTCACATAAAGAAATAATGTACAGTATAGAATATAAAGTCATGGTGCAGTGGAAAAAGAATTAATTTTGTGTATGACTCTCACGAGCTTGGGCGACTGCATCCATACATCTCTGCAATGACTCAAATAACTTATTAATGAAGTCATCTGAAATGGCAAAGAAAGCGTCTAAGCAGGACTCCCAGAGTTCATCAAGATTCTTTGGATTCATCTTCAGTGCCTGCTCCTTCATCTTACCCCAGACATGCTCAATAATGTTCAAGTCTGGTGACTGGGCTGGCCAATCCTAAAGCACCTTGACCTTATTTGTTTTCAGTAAACGTTGACGTGGAGGCTAAAGTATGAGAAGGAGTGCTATCCTGCTGAAGAATTTGCCCTGTCATGTGGTTTATAAAGTAATGGGCAGCACAAATGTCTTGATACCTCAGGCTGTTGATGTTGCCATCCACTCTGCATATATTTTGCACCCCCTCATACTAAATTTAACCGCAAACCATGAATTTCTCTCCATCTAACTTGACTGATGTCTATGAGAATCTTGGGTCCTTGCAGGTTCCAACAGGTCTTCTGCAGTATTTGTGATGATTGGGATGCAGTTCAACAGATGATTCCTCAGAAAACCTTCTGCCACTTTTCCAAATGATCACCTAGAAGTCAAGTTATTATTTGTTGTTCTTAGAACTGGGATCGACGACACGACTTTTGTCAGGTAGTGTAGACTTTGCTTGACGTGGTCTGGGAAATAATGGTTTAAAATTAAGGCTTAAAAAGTAGTACAGAAAAATATACAGTACAACGCAGATTTTCTTCCTAATTCCACCTATCATTTTGCTTTAGAAGATATTAATTTATTAACTGGGAACTTGTAGGATTCAATTATATCAATCAGCTGTGGTTTTTGAGGCATTCTGCAGTATATCCACCTAATATGGACTTAACAAATATAGACTATTGTTCAAAAAATATATATTTTTTTTAAATCTAGAAAATGCTAACTTTTGAAGGTTCCCAATTTGCTTTTTTTTTGTTTTAAATACCATTATGAGTATGGTGTAAACTACTAAAAGCTACACCATTTACTCAATCTAATGAGGAAAACACAACTGCAGAACAACATATCAATCTGCACAGGTGCATAGTGTTTCTCTAAAAAGTAACCTTACCAAATGTTGGTCTATTATGTCTATTATTATAACAGCTTATATATAACAAAATTAATTTTATATATATATATATATATATATATATATATATATATATATATATATATATATATATATATATATATATATATATATATATATATATGTAATATTATATAAATGTTAATAGAATTTAACATACTTTTTTAGTATATTGTTGATGTGTAAACAATGGGAGAATTTGCATGATTATATGGAGTGTCTCTTTAAAGATTGTGCAAAGCTACCCATTTTTGTTTGCCTGAAGTAGTTTTGTCCTTGTTCAACATGATATTACTTAAAAAAAAACACTCTTTTAAAAAAGTACTACAATCTTTTGTAAATAAGGTCATCACTGGTTTACAGTATGTGCAGTGTGCACACATTAAAAAAAGTAGATGTCCCTTTTTTACCATAAGATTTATTCCACAACAGCAAAGGCCAATTGACCAAAAATAGCGTAACAGTTTTAAAAACTTTTATAATTGTGCGTGTACAGTAGCATCTTAACGAAAGGACATATCTGGATAATGTGGTATGGAAATGCAGTGTTTGTGTGGGGCTTTAAGTATGTAGTGTGTCCATCTGTCCTACACATGCAGGAGTATAAACCTATTGGCACAGGTCATAACAGAAGAGCACAGCCCTTTGTGGCTGCCGCCAGTCTGGATGACAAAACACAGGTGGTGAGCTCCACCTACAACACTCCCATAGGCCTCTACTCTCAAGATAACATCCAGGACGCCCTGCAAGGACAGATCCGAGGTCTGGTGCATGAAAAGCCTGAGGGGTGAGTGCCAACTTGGATCACCCCGACCATATGGAATAAGATAGTTCCCTCTGCTTGCTGGACCGGCTTCCCACTAAACACTAACCCTCACACTGGCCATCCAGAAATCCTCACAAGTCTTCCTGCCGCCCCAATAAAAGCATATTGGATTTAATATGATGAGAAATTATGTTAATTGCTTTCTGTTAGCGATAAGAAAGGCCAAGCTCTTGTTTAATAGCTAAGCACTACAGCATTAGCAGAGCAAATATGCATTGGGCCTGCAGTGTTGGACCTTGGAGGATTTCTGCTCCTCTACCTTTCACCTCTAACTGTCAGTTAACATCTTCATTCTTATGTCTTACAGGACATTGATTACTTCGAACACAAGTTTAATGTCAGACCAAAGCCCTTCACATCTGCAAGCCAAAGGAGGTCATTAGATAAAAGCATTCACAGTATTACACTTTTCAAAAGCAAAAGACTAGCATGGAATGAAGCTACATGTACATCTCTAACAACTTTGTCCATTCTTTTCTGTCTTGTCTGTCCTTTTCTGTGGTCTTTCTGATTTGATTGCTTCCTGGTTTGGTACCTGATGGCTATTATACATTGACCTTACTCAACTCCAGTGACAGTACATCTCAGACGCTGATGGGAAATGTAGCTCAGATGGCTGGCACCCCATCGACAGCTCATTCTGTACAGTATAACTCCCCCGTTGCATTATACTCGGCAGACAATGTATCAAATACATTGCAGCAGGCTCAGATGTCCACTGTAGTCAGGCAGGCATCGCCCAGGTAACCAGAGCTTTGTTTCCATTACACTTGCTTTACCTCCTAGCTTGTCCTGATACAGCAAATATACATGAATTAGCACTGATAGATTGAAGAAGTGGTTTAACAGAATTGTGACAAACTGACACTTCCCTTACTGTAAAAAGCTATTAGTTTGCTTTACTTAAAAAGTGAGTAAATTCACAGGTTATAAAGCAATTAGTTGAATGTACTTAAAAAAGTAAGTAAACTGTTATCTTAAAATTATTAAGTAAATTAATTACATGCATAATTATAAAAATGAAGTTCCCTCAACTCAACCATCCCAAGTTTTAATGGACTTACTCACTTTTTAAATCAATGGTCTCAAACTCAATTCCTAGAGGGCCACAGCTCTGCATAGTTTAGCTTTAGCCACCTCCAAATCACACCTGCTTAATAGTCTCTACTAGTCTTCAACACCTTGATTAGTTGGATCAGCTGTGTTTGATTAGGGTTGGAGCAAAGCTGTGCAAAGATATCTTCCTGCCCCATTTGGAAACATCAGTTATTACTTAAAGTGAAATGAAAAGTACTCATAAAATTATAGGGCCCTATGAAAACTATTTTATTCATTTTCTTTTAGTCCCTTTAATAACCCAAGGTTGCCACAGTGGAATGAACCGCCAACATATTCAGTACATGTTTCACGCAGCTGATGCCCTTCCAGCCGCAACCTATCTCTGGGAAACATCCATACATACCCATTCACACTTATACAGTACGGACAATTTAGCCTACCCAATTCACCTGTACCGGATGTCTTTGGACTGTGGGGGAAATCGGAGCACCCGGAGGAAACCCAAGTGAACGCAGGGAGAACATGCAAACTCCACACAGAAACGCCAACTGACCCAGCCGACTGCGCCACTGTGTAACCCTGAAATCCATTTTATTTTTTCACAAATTCTGTTGTATTTATTTCCCATTTTCTTTTTTTTGACTTTATAAAAGGTGGTCAAGAGAGCTTAAACGCACTTAAGAAAACAAATAAATACAGGAAAACACTAACAAATTAAGAAAAGTGTCAAATTGACAACATACACCTTCAAATTCTCACAACACATGCAAATACAGAAACATACTGCAAGTAGCACAAACCACAACGAGTATGTGTTGATGGATCCCAAAAACAGCTGCTTCCTGTTCCTTTCATTACAAAAATCTGTATTTTGCAGAAAATATTTGTGCACAATGGAGGAATTCCTTGTGCTTTTTTGACTTATTTATAATATTATTAACACTTTTTAGGGCTCAGCTTTTACACTTATCAGATTAGCACATTTTTTTTCGTTGTTCTGTTGCAAAAAAAAAAAAAAAAAGCTATTTATTTTTCCTGTATGTTTAATTTCTGTCTTAAAAATGACAGCATGAACCAAGAGAACCAAATCCCAAATCTGAACATACCTCAATATCCATAACATGACCTCCTGAACACTATTAGACTGTTAAAGTTTGAGGATGTATATAGCTAGAACACTGATCTTTCACCTTATGGCCTCTTATTTGTTTTCAGCTCTAAACCGCTGACGTCTATTGAAGACTCCCATGTATACCGTATGCTCCAAGATGCCAACGAGCAGCCACATGAACCACGTCAGTCTGGATCATTTAAGGCCCTGCAAGACTATGTGGAGAGTGATGGTGAGCCGCTTTTATCAATCACACTAGCCTTTACAAGGGAGCAAGGTTGGCTTCATGAGACAGAGGTTACAGATAGAAGCATAATGAAGTCATCACAGTTGAAATGTCAGCTTTTTTGTTGTGAATTACCAGTAATTGATGAGTAATCATTTTTACAGGCTCATTTTTACAGGCTTAATTTGAGCAATCCTCAGCAATCCTGCTAATGACATCAGTCAACCTGCCATTCTCTTGATCGTCTGCATTCAGATAAGTTTATATGAGGGTGCATTTCAAATTCCCAAAGTGAATCTGAGGGTTTTTCCTTTATTTTCCTGACAGGCACAAGGCCCATGGTGACTAGAAGTGTAAAAGCTCCAGTGACAAAGCCCCAAGCCGCCACTTCTTCACTGCAGAAGCTGCCTCTCTGTGATAAATGTGGCACAGGCATTGTGTGAGTACAGCATTCAGCATGAGTCCGCACAGATGGTGTCTTCATTGAGAATATATCACCAGTTTTCATGAAACACACTGAATTGTGTTCACGCATTTTGACAACTTCATTAAATTAAACCTTTTTTTTATCCTCCAATGGGCTCGCAGAGGAACGGTGGTGAAAGCTCGGGACAAGTACCGCCATCCAGCCTGTTTTGTGTGCTCAGACTGCGGCATGAACTTGAAGCAGAAGGGCTACTTCTTTGTGGATGGACAGATGTACTGTGAAGCCCATGCTCGAATGAGGATGACCCCACCAGAGGGACATGATCTAGTTACAGTGTATCCTACTGCTTAGACTGATGCCAAAACTCAGACCTCACGCAAATGACAGCTGAAATCAGAGAGTTGGTAATTCATAGCTACTTCTTGAAGTTTTGTTAAAATCACAAATCTGGTTAGTAAGTGGGCATTTGTACACAAGAACAATGCACTAAATGATGAATGGTTTTTCGTTTGTGTTTTTAAAAAGGTTGTATATACAAACCCAAATAAAATAAAGTTGGGACAGTATAGAAAACGTAAAATAATAAAAGGAAAGTAGTAGGGATGTTCCAATCAGATTTAACAATCAAGTAATAAATATCATAAATTCTTCACCTCTTGCAATTCCAAGTTTTCATATATCACAGTTTGCTATGGCAATGTTGTCATCATCAACTTTATAATACCTCCAGACCACAGACATACTCGCGCTTTCCGCTTCAAGATGCTTTCGTGTTCTACTTTGCCGGCATTGAATCATTAGCGTCTCTGCAACAAAGTGATGTCAAGCTGCACACGTTGCTGTTTCTGTGTGAAGTCAGGAATGAGGTCTAACTCTGTGCCACCGCATACCTATAGACGTGTTAAAAAATAATAAGAATATATATGTATACATATATATTCAAGTCCTGATTGGGAGGTAACGTCTGAGTCTGAAATTGCGTGATCAAGCAGATGTCGGTTCTTGTGGTCATATCTGGACATCCCAAGAAATAGGTATTTCTCAATTTACTTTGACTTGTATTTTAATGTAAAACCACTATCTGCACACATTACAAAGTCCGGGCTGCAGAAAAAGAGGATACTGGCCCGCCTGCAGCCCTGACCTGTCTCTAATAGAGAATGTGTGGCACATTGTGCGATGTGAAAAAATGCGCCAACGAAGACCTCTTAAGTTTGTCTACCTAAAGACTTGTTTATAGGATGAAAGGGACAAATTTACACCTGAAGCACTTCCTCACTTGGTGTCTTCAGTCCCTAAACGTCTTTTAAGTGTTGTGAAAAGAAATGGCAAAAAAAAAAAGAAATTACAAAGTGCTAAATGCTTTACTGTTCCAACTTTTTTTGAAATTCATTGCAAGAACCAAAATTGGAATACTGGTTTATTTTGAAAAAAAAAAATAAAATAAATAAATAAGCAAATAAATAAATATCACACAGAACACATTAAATAATGTTTGTTGTATTGTCTACAATGAAATACAAGTCAAAGTAAATTTAGAAGATCACTACTTTATTTTTTTCATCTGTTTTCCAAACTGTCCCAATTTTTTATTTTTTTTTGTCAAAACGCTCCTTGTTCACATGAATCTACAAAAACAATTAAAAATATTAAATTCTGCATACTAGGCCAGCATCTGGCTGAACAGAAACACTACAGGTACACACCTGAACACGTATGGTTCTGTTATTTGCCATCATTATTTTGGTTGCCAAGTTCTCATACTCCAAATTTATGTAGTTTACTATACATGTTGTTATAATTATATTGTTATAATTTAAAAAAAGGCAATTTAAGACATGTTTAAAACTGTTTTAGTCTCTAAAAGTGCACAAGAATGGCTAAAGCAACTAAAAGGTTTTTCATTTTTACTTGAAAATGATAAGTACTGTAAATAGACCCCCTAAATCTGAATTCAAAACAAAAGGTGTTGTAAGGGCAATGAAGGCTACTTAATTGATATCCTACACACCTTACATTACTGGTATAAACATGTTTGAAACTTATGATCACTTGTCTTCAGATTTCATCGCAACCCTTCCCAACTGCAAACATGAAAATAATATTAATAAAAACGAGTGTGCAAAAAGCAAATGAAATTTAGGAGGGAAACTGATGTTTACCTTAATTTTTATTTTGGTGCAATTCAGAGAAGAATAACCTGAAAGCATTTGGTACGCTTTCTCATAATTTATTCCAGAACAATCACAAATGAAAAGAGTGTGCAGCAAATAACTGCTCTGCTCTGCTCTGCTATTTTAAATCATTTTAAAGGATTTAGCACTGATCAGTGCTGATCCAATGACAAAAATATATATTTGTACCTAGTCGTTGTTGAGAAGCCATTACACTCATATTTCTTACATATTAGGAATATATGCAGATACAATTTCAACAAACACTGTTGCTGTAATTTTCAAGAATTCTGTCCATATATGCACAGATGGTAATATTGCTTTCAATACAGTTTCGCACATGCCTTCATTTGCTATTCATCCTGGGAGAATTTCCAGAATAGTCTTTCTTTAAAAAGTAAACCCCTTTTCAGTTAAAATAGCTTTTTGCAATGTAAAAACCAATATATAACACATTCATTCACCTGGAGACATGACAGGATCTCAAAAGGACATCACAGACGGGATTCGATTGTAGTTTGTGGAGTTCACAGCCCTGTAAAATAAAGTGATATAACAGTGAGACTGAAGTGTCTTTCCTGGTGGAATTTCATCAGCTGATATTAGTGATTATTATATTATTATTATTATGGAAAGCAATTAGCTCTGTTCAGAGTGCAATACGGGTGTCTTGATGCCGGTTCCTTGACCCCTGCTTACTTGTTAACATTAAGGCTGATGATACTCTTTATAGGTGTGCTCTTTGGACCAGGAGAGGGGTGAAATATCTTTACTTCATTATTAGCCACAACTGATTTATTTTTTTTGGTGCCGTAGGGTTCTGCAGAGTATGTGGGGTACGAATCAAATGCTCCTGCTTTCATCCCTCCAGCCTGCAGAAAACAAGAATAAAACCACATTCTACCATATGAATAAATCACATTAAAATATTTATCTCCATGTAAGAATATTATGTACCTTTTTACTGGGTGAACTCGGCTTAAAGGGCACGGCAAAGTGCTTTTTCTCCTCAATCTTCTTTGGAGGGGGTAGAGGCTTGTCAAATTTGTAAGGATTGCCGTCAAAGTATTCATTTGGATGAAGGTTCAAACGAAATGCTCCACCTTTCAGCATGGATTTGTGCGCTGTGATCTCACGCTGGTAAACAAATTATCTCTCTCATTAGATAAAGAGAACACAGTCATCTGCTTGCATAGAATTATACTGTCAGGTACTCAGAGGAGGCCTTATCTTAATTAAAACAAGGACCCAGGAGTCTGATTAAAAATCTCATTTAGGTAGACCTAAAAATACCTTTAGCATTTCCTTGGCTCGATCGTAGGGGTCGGAGGAATAGGACACCATCTTGGAGAGGGTAATGTCAGGATAGCTATTAGAGAGCAAAGACAAATCAATATGTATCATGACAAAACCACAGAAATATAAACAATTAAGTCATTTGCTTACCCATAACCACTTCCTTTCTTGGGTGGATTGGTGTAGAAGTTTTTACCGGCAGATTTGTTTTGTTTTCTTGGGATCTGTAGGGCACTCATTGCTTGAATGGGACCTCCAAATGTCCCATAATAGGTGCCCATTCCACATCTACAAATCAAAGAATGCTACTAGCCAACTGTAAGGAAAATTCTAGCAATGTTAACTAGAAAAAAATGTGTATGCTGTGTAACATTTTCATTTATTTTATTCGGCTTAGTCCCTTATTAATTAGGGGTAACCTAATTTATTAGGGAATGAACCACCAACTATTCTGACAAATGTTTTAAGCACTGAATGCCCTTCCAGCTGCATCCCAGTATTAGAGAAACACTACACTTTCACATTCACACACACAATCATTCACTCTGGCCAATTTAGTTTATTCAATTCACCAATACCACATGTCTTTGGACTGTTTTGGAAAACGGAGCATCCGGAGGAAACCCATGTGAACATGGAGAACATGCAAACTCCATACAGAACTGCCAACTGACCCATCTGGGACTCGAACCAGCAACTTTTTTTTGCTATGATGTGACAGTGCTAACCACTGAGCCACCGTGCCACCCCTGTGTGGCATTTTTTTCTGATATAAATATAGGAAGGGGGTAAAAAACTAAACAAAATGCAGACATCTCACTCCTTCTATGACTTGCAGCTTAAATGGCTGTTGTTCTTTACATTTTAGGTATATTTTCTTTCTCCAGTCTCTTAGATGCACATGAAAAACAGAGTGTTTGCATTTGATGCTTTGAACTATTGCAATATGCTGAAATCCAGGTTTCATTCATTTTTAAAAATTAAGAACTATATCTTGATTTCAGGTCAACAAACGGTATTGAAAAACAAAAAAGTGTGCTTCTTTCTCAACAGAATCTGGGTTGTGGGCTGTTTTTTTTATGTCTGTGTTATCTCACGCTAATGAAATAGCCTTAAACCAAATACATCTCAGGTGCAACTTTGAACTCCCTGGTAAGCAGCTCCTGCAGGGCCAGAGTCCAACAGAGTTCACTCCAACGGCTTGCTCCAACACACATGCCTGTAGTTTTCAAATAAGCCTGAAGGACCTGATTATCTGGATCAGGTGTATTTAATAAGGGTTAAAGCTAAAATTTACATGACTCTAACCTCCCTGTTTTGCAACCCATGTTACTACAAGGTTCAGTGAAGCTATTAAACATTAAAAGGATAATTCATGCATAAAATCATTCATTTTCTTCCAGTTCAAACCTCAATCATTTTTTTTTTCTGTCGAACAAAAACATAAAGAAATTGTCTCTGTGTTTTTAGTCCACAAAATTGAGAGTCACCAGACCTGTAATATGATATTACTTAATGTCTTTATTTTAGTCAGGAAGTCAGCTTTGAAGCAATATTAGTTTGAGTAAACAAGCTATCCTTTTAGTGTTTAGTAGACATCATTGATCTAAACCTTAGTTCCTTTACCAAAATGAACCATGGTTTTACTACAAATTAAATAACAAAACAAAACATGAGCTGCGTCCCAAATGGCACACTATACACTGTGCACTCATGCACTATGTACTTATGCACTTACACACTCAACAGGATAGTATATGTATGTAGTGACGACCCAAATGGCACACTTTTTTTTCTAAGCGGAAATTCAAACCGTTTCCCTGATGACGTTTGACTGTTGCTAAATCAGTGAAATAAACGACCGAACTATGAAATAATACCGGCCGTGAGTATAACCGTATTCACCACCGGGAAGCGCTGTAATCACTCTCATAAGAGAATTTTGCTTTCACAATCCAAAATAAATAAAGTTATCCAACATGTGCGCCCAATAGCTCCGCCCCTTCCGCTACGCAAGCAAACCTGCGGTCATTGAGTGCGTGAAGTGTCCATCATTACACACTTCATTTTAGCGGCTGAATGAGTGCATAATCCGGGTAATTAAAGTGCACTTATTATTTTTAGAGTTTTCAGTGTGAACACACTACTTAAACTATTTATACTACAATATGGCGTAGAATAGTGCATAAGTATACGATTTGGGACGCAGCTATAGTGACCACAATCACTTTGCTACAATAAAAATAGTTTAGGAAGATGTTTGCAGTGAAATGTGGTTATACAGTGTATTCTGGAAATTAATGGTCTCAAACTCAATTCCTGGAGGGCAGCAATTCTGCATAGTTTATCTTCAACCACTTCCAACTTATGCTGTGGTCATACTACAGTTTGTGCATGTGAAATTCTGTTGTATGGCGCTGAGAAAAGGGGCGGGATTAAACAAGATGATTAGACATTAAAAGAAGCGAGTAATTGGGTCATGTTTTACATTTCTGTCCAGAGAGGTCATGTTTTCATCTTCAATTGGTCTCATGCAGTCATGTGACACGATTTGGCAGGTCAGAGTTGACCAAGCTTGAAACTTGTCGCACGAGCTTGTGTTTCTAGTCTGACGTATTTGCAAGCATATGAATGGAAGTCTATGGGGAGAAAAGTGTCTCTAGAAGTTTTTTTCCCAACATCTTGATTATTTGGATCAGCAGTGTTTGATTAGGGTAGGAGCAAAACTGTGCAGAGCTGCGATTCTCCAGGAATCCAGTTTGAGACCTATGCTGTAAATGGTCACCCACATGACAAACAAAAAAAAAACTACTGCATACTTTTACTACAGTGAGACCTTGATTCATTTTTTATAAAGGCTACCTCATTATGACCTTGTAGTCTATTGCCTCAACAACAATAATAAGACCACTTTTTTTATTTATATACTCTCGCAATTGATTATAACTTAAAACTTAATAACAGCAAAATTCTTAAACAGTTGTGTCACCACAAAAAAAGGACTCACGTTGTTTTCTCCCCATTACTAGGAAGAAAGGCTTTCCCAATGTTCTTTTTGGCCTGCAGTATCCTGTATTGTCTGTCTATTCTGACAGGATCCGTGAACGCCTCTCTCTCGAAGATCCTTTTAAACTGTGTGTCGAAGTATCCTGTTTGGAGTCCGCACTTTGATTTAGTTCCTCCTAATAGCATCTGTTTGTTCTTGTACGCAGAGTCATTAAAAGGGCCTTTCAAAGACAAACAAAGTGCATAATGTTTTGTACAGTATGTTGACTGCAGACATAATAGTTTTGGCAATGGCTGGTAGAGAAACAACTCGAGAAAATCTTTATTTACATTTTTTAATTTATTTAGGGAATGTTATATACTGTATGTATTGTTATTTTTGGTTACCAAAACATTTTCCTAAAATATTGCAAGGAGTTTTTATTTTATTTGTATTAAAGAAAAGAAAAAACATATTAAGTAAACTAAAAGAGAAGTTAAATGTGGTATTATATTCTTTTTTGAACATTCAAAACGTCCAAGCATAGCTATTTGTTTGTTTTTTTAGTAATAGAAAAATACAGGGTCATTCCATGTTATCATATCACTTTGCAAACTTTGTGAGAAATTTACTTTTGAATGTTTACCAGACTGAAACAACTTTTTAAATGAATGAATAAAGGCAAACATTGTGCTAAAATGTTTCACTAAAAGAAATTCTATAAATTCTATGAGTGACGTAAGAAAGCCTAATTTTGAGTAGGCTATATTTTAAAAGAACAGATAAATTCGAACGTTCTATTAATGTTATTGGAAGAATATGGAGAAACATGTCAGATGTCATGAGAATGTAATTAGGCCTTACGTTACTAGTTATTTTACTGCAGCAATAACGTCAATTGTTTACGCGTTCTACGTCACATTGGTAGCCAGCCACTGTAATTAATGCTATTAAAGTGAACATGATGTTAGTTAAACTTACGGTAAATAAAAGACGTGTATTTGTCCCCTATTGAGGTGTAGCCCATCTCTTTAAAGACGCCAATCCGCTCCATGTCAGATTTCCCATCTGGAGGCATTTTCTAAAGTTTGACGCACAGCACTTGTAGGGTAAAAAGACAAGATCTGAATGTGGAATGCAGTTATGCACATCTACTGCAGATAACCGAGAATTGCATACGCATTTTACAGTATCAATTACGGGTCCATCTTTTCTACATATCTGAATTGTGTATAATGCTTTTACCTGTTAAGCAGTCTGGAAATAACTCCACTGCTGGGGTGTCCGTGTAGGTTGTTTACGTTGTCATGGTGTTCAGCTATTCAGGTAATGTTTGACTGACGAGTTGTTCATCATCAGTGTTATGAATACAGTATAAATTCACACATTTTTAAAAAAATTTTGCAAAAAAGAATCATTTAAAATATTAAAAGGTAAAACTATTTTGTGAACCTTTTGACATGTAGGCTACGCATCACCGTGACGCAAGAAAGAATTCTGGGAAATGTAGTGACAAGCTGTAGTGGCAAAAAAAAAAAAAAAAGTTAGGCTCATAGACTAAAAATTAGGCTATGAAACATTTGAAAGGCGTTACAAAATGTTAGCTATCAAAACACATTTATTGATATCGCATAAAGTAATTTACATCGTAGAAATTGTTATGAACATAATTTTGTTTTCAAACAATAAATTAGGGCTATTTAAATAGACTGCAACTGCAATCCATCCCAGACATATAGAACATTTATTTTAGTCATGACATCTTTTTAAGTCATCCAAAGTGATGGCGAAAACCTGCAACAAATATGAACCAGGTGTTATTCACGCTACGAGTAAAATATAGCACAACTTCAGTAACAATCTTACGTTTTTGTGACAAGGGTCTTTATAGTCGCAGATGTCTTCTGGAAATGCTGATCGAATCATCTCTTTGAGCTCAGCTGGATACACATATGTGATTTTATCACCTGAGCTGCAGCCGATCCTGTTGTTCAGCTATCAACATTTACGTTAAACATTAACAAAATCCTGCAAAATTAATAATGATAAAATATATAAAACGAAATGCAAATGTGACGCTTACTAACTGAAGCTGGATTAAACGGTAAACTTTTTTTCGTTTTAACCGGTCTGTCTTCTTCAGCCGGGAGGCCGCGTGGAGCAACGGCCCCACCCAGAGGGGCACACTAGATAAGAACAACCAATTTCACAGTAAATATAAAAACAACAGTGTGCATATTACAGTATAGCCTAGTTATCTGGTGGTACTAATTGTCATGCCAGGTCTTACAAAAACAGCAAATTTCTATGCCAGGTTTACACATTAGCTTAACTTTAAATGCACAAGACTTCTCCGCACATATTCAAACATTGATAAAGACCAACACCTATTCACAATTTAAAACAATTATGTTATATTACCCAAATGCCTTGCAGAGGTTATAGTAATAATCCATTAATTAGTAGCATATCAACATTTGCCTGGTGGCGCGAAGGCTAGAGCGCATGTGCAAAGAAAAGAGAGCGCGCGCGCGAGAGAGTATAAGAGATGCATCGGCAACAATGTAACTCATAATCAATTGCTAAACAGATTCTCAATGAATTGGTAACAGTTTCATTATTAGTTTAAATACATTTTAAAGACCAAAAACAAGGACAAATTTTATTGAATTATCAGACTTTATTAAAATACATTACGTTTTGATTAGCATTAAGGGGTAGTTCACCCAAAAATGAAAATGTACACACTATTTAATAAAGGTGAAAACCTGTAACTACTGACTTCCACAGTGGGAAAATCAAATAATATGGAAGTCAAATTTCCAGCTTTCTTTAAAAAAATAATTTTGTGTTCAACAGAAAGAAACGACAGGTTTGAAACAAGTGAAAAAGTAAATGACAAAAAAATTTTCGGTTTTGGGTGAACTATCCCTTTAATTGTGTAACAGTAAGGTCCCTGATGTTTGTTCTTTTTAAGCTGCATTCATTGAGTTCTAAGAGATTTGAGGTTTCTCATTTGCCTTCTTTTTCTGACCATTCCTTGTAGGCTCCAGCATAATTACGAGCGCTGAAGAGAGATAGAAAGAATTGTTGTTACATTTTCAACAGAATTGTGTGATCATTTAAGCATTCATGATGCCAGGTTTCTTACTTCTTGAATCCCAGGCTTTTGGCTTTCTCTGTGGCAGCAGCTCCGCGTCTGCCCAACTGACAGAAGAAAACCAGTTCTGTGCAGTCCAGGGGTGGTTTACCTACACCAAACTTAGACTGGAATTCAGCTGCGTCCAGAGATAAGTCTTGCCCAACGTTTCCCACTAAATGAAATTTAGCCCAGAAAAATAAATAAATAATAAAATAAGTACACATGACTCACACACTTAATGTACAACAGATTAATTATGCACATTATATATATATATATATATATATATATATATATATATATATATATATATATATATATATATATATATATATATATATATATTAGAATATCTAATATTTACTACCGTAGGTATTTTAAATGTTTAAAAATAAGCTTATCCTGCTCATCAAGGCTGCATTTAGTCAAAAATACAGAACAAATTGTAAAATTGTGAAATGTCATTGCACTATAAAATACCTGTTCAACAGTAGTTTATCATTTTATTTATTAATTTTTTCAAGTGGTTGCGACGCAGTGGCGCAGTAGGTAGTGCTGTCGCCTCAAAGCAAGAAGGTCGCTGGGTCGCTGGTTCGCTGGTTCGAGCCTCGTCTGAGTTGCCGTTTCTGTAAGGAGTTTGCATGTTCTCCCTGCGTTTGCGTGGGTTTCCTCCGGGTGCTCCGGTTTTTCCCCACAGTCCAAAGGCATGCGGTACAGGTGAATTGGGTAGGCTAAATTGTCCAAAGTGTATGAGTGTGTGTGTGGATGTTTCCCAGAGATGGGTTGCGGCTGGAAGGGCATCCGCTGCGTAAAAACTTGCTGGATAAGTTGGCGATTCATTCCGCTGTGGCGACCCCGTATTAATAAATGGACTAAGCTGACAAGAAAATGAATGAATTTATTCAAGTGATTTTAAAGACAAATTTTCAGCTTCATTGCTCCAGTCTTCAGTTACATGATCCTTCAGAAATCACCCCAATATGAATTATTATTATTATTATTATTATTATTATTATTATTATTATTATTATTATTATTATTATTAATGGTATTAGTAATAAAAGCAATACTGACTGGGGTAATAATTTAATTCGAAACTCCACACAATAAAAAAGTTATTTAAAATTGTAAAAAATATCTAATAATTATTTTTTTTTACATTTAATAAACGCCACCATGATGAACAGAATAACTTTTTTAAAACAAAAAAAACGTAAAAATGATAATATTCTAATTAGAAATGTTGAATATCTATCATTAATAAGTCAAATTGCCAGCAGGGGTCACTCATGCTTCATTGCATTAATTATAAACAGTAAATTTAGTTACAGTTTTTCTCAGTCACTTTGGTCCATTTCTAAGATCAGAATAGATCAGAATTGAAATTCTCAAAACTACCTGTTCAATCCACACATCATGGTGTCACTTGTGCACATGCTTTTGTATATGCATGTAAATGATTATGTGCAGTTCTCTGCTGTTTCCAACATTATCAATTGCTCAAGTCATGTTGATCAAAATGTATTATTTTGGTCTCTGTTGAATAGTCTCATCCCCACAACATTTAATCATTTGCTCATGGCATAAATCTTTACATGCAAAATGGCTGAACAAGTTGCCATAATATTTTGTCATAATTTTCTATAACATATTCAACATTTTTCTATACATTTCCGGTAGACTTTTTTTCTTAAATCTGTCTACAATTGGTCAATTTCTCTCAAATGAATCTCAACTTTCAAAAAAATCTCAAAAAAAAAAAGGCGAATCTCAAAAGAGTCTCCAATGTTCACATTTCTACTTTTGTTTTGTTTTTTCTTTGTGCTATGCAGTGCTGTCTTTTCCTTTCAGTATCAAAATGACATGATCTGTCAACAAATTATAGTACAAACAGCAAAAAAAAAACTAATTTATCCATTTACATCAGAAGACCCCTCCAGAGTACACTGTTATATTGACAACATGACTAAATAATTTGACTGTCTTATCCATACACAATGACAGCAGGACTTGACGTTCTGACACGTTTACTGACACAGAAATTTAGTTAAGAAATGAACTAAGGATTTTGAGCAAGAGGCTGCCTTATGCAGGTTATCTATGGTGTTTTGCTATTTGTATGCTTTGTTTTAAGAAATTCACTTACTGTTTTGCAAATTTCAATTCTGGTCTGAGTAATGTACCAAAGCAACTGAGAAAACCTGTCAAACTTGTATACATTTAATATTGTATCAACCATCATTCATGCATTATATTACCAGGAGTGATTGCTGAAGCCAAGCGTACAGTATACTGGGTATTTATACATTCATTCTGTTACTGTTTGTGAACTCATAATGGTAATTTTATCATCAGTAACATGGTAGTTCCCCAAACCAGAGGTGCAACCTATCATTTAAAACAAGGTAGATTGTGTACTTTTGAGTCGCTTACCCAGAGCTGTGTGTGAGACCGAGTGAAACATGGAAAAGGACTTGTAAAAAACTTGAATTAATTGTTAACACGCTGTTTTTATAATAAAAAAAAAAACATTTTCCATGCCCAGTCCTATCACTAAACTTAACCCTCATAGGAAACTGTATTTTGATTTTTAAAAAGTAACACACACACACACACACACACACACACACACACACACACACACACACACACACACACACACACACACACACACACACACACACACACTGTATGATTTACAAGATTTTTGGAAAAAATAAGAGAACATGGGCACCTTCTTGTCATACTCTTGTCATTTTATAAGTTTGTTTCCAGCTATGTCACTCACTCACTTACACTTACACTGAGTTACACACACACAGTTGCATCAGTTGATCGTCATTTCTGTCTCACCTGGGATATGAATGGAGCCTGGAATAGTCCCTCTGGCGACCTCTTCGTTTGTGCGCACATCAACAAGAACCACTGAACCTTTCGCCAAGAGACTTTTTAGATCACTGTATGAGATGTCATTATCTACAGCAGAGAGGAATTTCAAACAGGTATGCTTACATATCTGCCATGCAATAAAGACTGTTGTTGAATACAGTGGGGACATTCTACCAGAAGTGTACGTTTTCACTTGTGAAATAGTATTTATGTGTAGAATGTATTTATAATTTCATGTTTTTAATCACATGATGTGAAAGTTAACAACTT